CTGAGCTTCCTGAATATATATTCTCTCATTCTTCATTATGTCTGGGAAGTTTTCCTCTAGTAATTCTTCCACAACTTTTTCAGTGCCTTCACTTGCTGGGCAGAATAGTTATTGAGAGGAACCATCAGTCCCTGTTTCACCTTCCCCAAAGCCAAACTTAGCTTGTAATTTTTAGGGACAGAAGCCAAGCCTAGCCTCACAGGGAGGCAGGCTCGATCGAGCACAGAGATGTCCCTTGGAGTGGTAGTTCCCTTCCAACCAGCCGTGGTGTGCTCACTGTCTCTCTCTGCCTCCCAGTTCACCACAGGTTCATGCGATGAGTCAGTGGTTCACAACTGCAACCTGTGTGGCAAGGGTTTCCGCCTTCAGCGAATGCTCAACCGACACCTCAAGTGTCACAACCAGGTGAAGAGGCACCTGTGCACCTTCTGTGGCAAAGGCTTCAATGACACCTTTGACCTGAAGAGGCATGTCCGCACACATACAGGTAAGGAAGGGGCAGTTGTTTTTCTGACCCAAAGTTCCTGTGCCTTTCCTACCACAGAACCAAGTCAGGAGCATGGCCCCAACACAGAGCCCTTCTTGGGTCCTCTGCGTCCAGGTTACTTTGTTCTCTTATTGTGTGATACTGTCCTTAATCTACCTGCTGGCCATGAGCCACCTCACTATCCTTTAAAGGACATCTTTAAAGAGTGTGCCGGGATGCTAGACAGTTTCTCTTTATAAAGCGAACTTTACACTCAAGTATAATCTAGAAAAGTGCATAACTTGTATGTGATTTTCAATTATTTAGTAATTTTTAGAAAGTGACCACATCCATGTAACTAGCATTTAAAGAACAGAATATTCCGACCTCTTGAGGTCCCCCTTGTGCCCCTTCCCGGTCACTCCTATTCCTACCTCTCAAAGCCCCTCAAGCCCCTTCCCAGTCACTCCCACTCTGACCTCTCAAGACCCTCCTTGTGTCCCTTCCCAGTTACCACCTCGCTCCCTCTGAAGGGTTCGACTCCTGTGACTCCTTACAGTATAAGATACACTTGCCTGGTTTTGAACTTGATATATATGGAACCATGTAGTGTGTATTCCATGGGGATGACTCTAAGGCTCCCTTTTTTGTCCCCAGCACTAGTGAATTACTCAAAGCCTGACATATGGAAGCTGGGCTTGCATTGCGTGTTAGTTTGAGATAGGAAAATGCCTGGAGCATTCCACAGGGTCTGGGGCTCTGGGAAGCTGCCTGGGTAGTTGTGAAGCAGTGAAGGGGGCTTGGTAGACAACTTGACTAGGGTCTTGACTAGACTGGGACCCCTCATCTTGCTATTTGTCATTTCTCATCCTGGAAACTTTCCCTCCTTTCCCTAGCTGAGGATGTCTTCAAGGTCTTAGACTATTTCTTCAGCTTTCACAGGTAGACTTTATGGGGTCTTTTGGGTACTTTCAGAGAAAACATTGAGTGAGGAGGTTTGTCTCAGCTGTGATTGAGTTAATTCTTCACCAGTGAAGAATTAACCAGAAATGCTGGGAACTGACTGCTTCTGAGAGAAGAATTTACAGCCTGAGTCACGCAGTAGCTGAGGACTGTGGACCTGTGTTAGCTGACAGTGTGACTTGCCAAGTGACTTAATCTTTCACCTTATTTCTTTCATCTCTAGAGTAAGTGCAGTGATTTTAGTATCTGTCACCTAAAGTAGTGGTTATAAGGCTTCAGGGGGAAAAGTGCATATAAACTGCTTCATATACTGCAAAACCCACCAAAAGCCAGAGTGGTTGTGGGGGAGTCGCTTCTGGCTCACAGCAGCACTAAAGGGCAGAGCGGAACTGCCCCATGGGTATTAGAGGCTGGAAGCTTTCGTGGGAGCTGACAGCCTGCTCTTTCTCCTGTGAAGATCCTGAAGCGTCCAAACTGCTGACCTTTCTGTTAGAAGCCCAATGTGTAATCACTGCACCACCAGTGGCTCCTCCACATATTGGAAGCACCTCATAAATATTAACTAGTAAAAGTTGCACATAACTGGCAGAGGTTTCCTAAGGTCCTGGGCCCTAGGATTCTCCTCTGTGCTCACGGGGATACCAGCCACTATGGGACAAGATGCACTCGAGCATCTGAATGTAACACAAGAAGTAAAGCAGCTGTGCCTGACAGAAGGAAAAGTGGCCTGTGCTCATGAGGAGGCTTGGAAGAGCCTTTATTGCTGAGTGGGAAACAGGAGACATCTCAGAGAAGGTAGCCTTCTCACTGGGCCTCCAGAGGGATGGTAGGATGAAGGCACTCCAGGTGGGGAATGTCTTGGTTTGTGTTACCCCAGCAGCAGACCCTGACCAAGGACCTATGTGCAGAGGGTTTTCCTGGGAGGTGAACCCACGTGGCCTAGTGAGGAAGTGGGCAAGGCATAAATTAAGGGAAACAAGACAATAAGAGCAGATTACAGCTGCAAGCAATTGTGACCCAGTTCTGCTGAGCACCCTGTGAAGAACCACAGAGAATACTCTCCAGAATTTCTACAGGAATTGCTTAGGGGTCCATACTGAGACCCTCAATCCCTAGGCAGTTCCACAGCTGCCTTTTGCAATCTCACATTACTCCAGGGACATCCCCAGGCAAGGAGAGGGAAGGTACAATTAGCCTGTGCAGAAGCTGTCTGGGATGATCTGATGGTAACGGAGGGGTATGGATGGGACACTGATGTTATCTACCTCAGGGAGAAACAGGGAATTGAGTTAGTAAGTGTTATGCCCTGGCTCTCACCAAGAAAGAACGGCTAGGAGAGGAACCTTTGGATCCTGGATCCCTGCACTGAAAACCTCCTAGACACAGGCAAAGATCATGTCACATGGAGATTGCCAAAGGACACGAAGTCCACAGATATTGAAATGATATTAGGACATCCTCTGGAGCTAACACCCTGAGTTCAGTCTTTGAGCCTCCTAAACTGTGAAAGAACAAATTTGTTTGTTAAAACATCCACTTTATGGTACTCCTGCCACAGCAGCACTAGATAGTCACAGCCAAGGTGAGGCAGCAGCTTCCTCAGCTACAGACTATCAATCAGTGTCCTGCAGGCCAGGCCCTCAGTATGTTCTGTTATCTTAAACAATCCAAGGAGCTGTTGCTGGTATTCTTACTCCATTTCACAGATGTGGAAACTGAAGCACTGGTGCATCAGACAACCCATAAATGGGAGTTGAGAGTCAAATGGCTGGCCCGTGATTTTTATCTTTTTTTTTTTTCGTGATTTTTATCTTTAATAGCATCTCCTACATTGAGCCTGTTTCTCCCAAGACCTTGCAGAGGTTAGGCACCTTCTTTGCCTCACTAGTTTGCCCCTGTTCTGTTGTAATAGGCTGTGTGCGTCTAGGTGAAAGGGAGAAAAAGGAAAACCTGTACAAACTGCACATTCCTGCCTGAACCCCATAGATAGTAGAGGCACCCATGAATGTGTATGTTCAGTTCTACCAAGAGCCAGAGTAGCAAGAAAGAGGGGTCTTCTGCAGTCGTGGGCCCCTAGCTTCTCATTACCTGTACTTCAGAGACTTCTTGTGAAGTCTCTGAGCTACTGGCTCTATGGTGACTGAGCCCTAAAGTGTATGGCTTGTCTGGACTGAGATGTGCTAGAAATGTGAAAGGCATTCTAGGTTCTGAAAAGATAATTAAACTATTAGCCTCAGCACCACTAACAACGGAGTGCATCTTTTAGCACTCAGGTCTCCATGCAAGAAAGTTCCTGAGGCCATGTAAAGACCAGGAAACATGGAAGTTTTGACCTGCAGATGCTGAAGGAAACAAGGACTTTCCTCCACAACTAACAGAGACAATTTACTTTAAAGGTGGCTTCGTGAATCTCAACATTAATGCTTCTCAATTATAAGAGAATAAAATTTTGTGTTCATAAAACCCCAAAATGAATGACTTAAAACCTAATAACAATTAATCCAAAGGACAAATGGGCCAAATGAGACTCAAGTTCCATGACCCTGAGACCAGAAGAACGAGATTGTGCCCAGCTACCACTGCTCAAAAGGCCTGGATAGAGTTGGGGGGGAAAATGTGGAACAGAAGTGAAAAAATATGAAAAAGGCCAGGTTTATGGAGATGAGGGAGACTGGTGGAGTGCCCAAGACCATGACCCTTAGTCACCTTTGAACCTGGAATTTATCCCCATGACCCAACTTTTAGTGCCCAGGATGATGATGAGGAAGGGGATGGCACAGGATAGGACAAGGCTCAGATCTGTTTATGGGTAGGGTCACCATGAGTCGTAATCAACGCGAACGCACCAGCAACAGCACCAGGGAAGCACTCACTCCTTGGAATAACTAACTATAAAATAGCCCAAAATAATTTACCAAAAGTGCAGTATTTGCTCAAGGATAAAGCCCAGAAGGTGGCAAAGGTTGGGACAAAACGATTAATGGAAATGAGTATTACAGGGAGGAAGTGGAAAAGTGTGATTACGTTGTAGGCATTTGTAATTAGTGTTATGAGACAAAGTATGTATGGATACTTGAATGAAAAACCAATCTACTTTTAAATGTTCACTCAAAAGGTAATAAAAAGAAATTTGTGCCTAAGTAGACCAGCAGCAAACCTTGGAAAATCTACTATATTTTGGCTTTACTGGGTTAAATTACAAGTGGCTTGATTCACGATTGTGTTTGGAGAGCACTGAGTTAACAGAATTGAAATCTGTGCAATAACCATTTTTATTAATTCTATGCACTTTAATTATAATATATGAAGTGATCAACGTGTGGAAGTATCTGGGACCTGCTTTTCCTGATTTCTTTTCCAACATAGCAATGCCTCCAAGTGCTGCTATGTCCCAGTGAGGAGCCAAAGGCATAACGAGGAAGCTAACTGGTCGCCTTCTAGTCCCACTGACTCACGGGACCTCATGTCAACAGAATGAAGCATCGTTTAGTCCTGTACCGTCTTTAGGATTGCTGGTGTGTGCCAACCCATGGTTGCAGCCACTGTGTATGCAGCATGCCTTCAGCCAAGGGAGTGTACCTCTCAGCATGGATTAGACACTGTTCTTATGGAGAAATTAGACAGTGACTTTTACAGAGGCCTGAGCTGCACAAATGTCCTGGTGTGTGAACCAGCAGACAACCCCGTGTGCTGGCTTCAGGTGCCTGCTCCAGGCCAAGAGGACAACTAGCCAAAAAGAACAAAAATCTGGTTTTTAAGGTCAGATTTTAAAGTTACTTGGGCCACCCTCACAGACTCAAAAAGAGCTCATCAGAATTAAGTGGGGAGGCAAAGAGGCCTTTCATTTGGTTGAAATGTGAATGTTGGATTTTTGTGGTTGATTTTTACAGTATAAGTGAATGTTAGGAACAGTGATGTAGACATTTTAACACAAATGCACAGCGTTGTCATGGGCAGTGCAAGTCGTTAACTCACTCAAATACTGACCAGAACAGTGGAGAATTAAAGAAAGATCCAGTGGGTCTCCTTCCCAATAAGCCACTGAAACTTCCCATTGA